AATTAAAATAATACATACTAAAGAGGTAGGTAAAGGGAAAAAAAGGAAAAAGGGGGAAAATAAGTTCCCCAGCTGGGACTCGAACCCGGAATCCCAGTGTAGAATACGGATGTTCTAGCGATTTACTTATATTTATTAGGCCACTGCGCCGTTAAGGGTATACCCATGGATTTACACGTACGTGATGTTAATCTGTATGCACCGCCATCTATTGATGAATATAATTTTTATGAATTTTAATTTTTGTTTCAGCCAGAACCACCTCCCAGACGTGCTGATTCTGAAAATATCTTTTGTTTTCCTCTAGGCTGCGGAGTTCTTTAGTTATGCGAGTACGAACTAATTCGGTTGAACAAAAATATTGTAAGCGGGCAAAGGCCACACGCCAGGGAAGGTGATGACGGATGCGAGAATGTTGTTGGGGTAATGCATGACACAGGAGTGGGCGAGTCAGCGGTCGACACGGAGATCAAAGAGAGCGACTCGAGATGGCGCCAGCTAGGCTGGGAATCGCAGTCATGAATCTCTGGAGTGTGACAGGCGGTCGGTCGCACACGAGCTGACCTATAGATAACGGTGCTGACCGATAGATGGCTGTGATGACACCATGGTCCGAATTGACCATGGCGTCGCGCCAAGTGGGCACCACGCATCTCGCAACCATATTAGGTAGCGGGAGATAGCGATAGCAATCCGCACTCTGCCGTGTTCGGGAGGGCCGGTTGGTCAGAGTTGGGAGCTAAAATAGATCTGTGACGTAAGGGAAGAAACGTGATCGCGAAACCGGGGCGCACCGTATAAAAGAGGAAGCGGCCGACTGCTCGGGGCTTCTTGTGACGAGATGTAGTCTGAGAAAGGTGTAAGTTGCGTGATACGGTTACTATGCACTGTAATGCTTTTCTATTCGTTAGCGCACTGAGACTTTACGTATTGTATTAGAGATGTAGTCAAAACACTAGTGAACGTTACTCTTGCCTTTTCTTATCTCTATCAGTCTATTACAGATTTCCACATCGTAGCGCAAAACGCGCGTCTACATTTTAGTGCCGTGACCAGGATCTTGTAATAGACGGAGATGTGCCATTACAAGACTACGAGATTAATTTGGTCTGGATGTATTCTAACCCGACCGTGCAGAATGAGAGGTTCTCTCGATGTGTGACCGTTTCATGAAGCTACATGTTTTCCTGAATTTAAAGCAGTGTATTTGCCAGAGACCCATCTACTCGTCTTTTGGGCGCCCTATTCTTGGATGAGACTGATGAAATTTGATAGACGGCATGAGGGCGGCCCAATTTTATATAAATTATACACATTGTATAACTGACAACAGTGCTTATAAGAATATAAAATCATATCAGATTCCTGTCTTTTTGTCATTTCAGACCCGTACGGAGGAACATGGCACTCCGGGAACTCGTAAGAGGTAACTGTTGTCTGTAGCAGAGGGTTAAGGATGCTATAAATATCTGGAATGTCTTTCCATAGAAATGCATCTCATTGTGAAATAAAACTAAGGAAACGTGCAATTCACGTTACGATTCTCGTAATACAGCAAATTTTCGAGGCCACATCTTCCCATTACCAAGGCTTGCGCTACCCGTTACAAATACAACAGTCCTAACCTGATGAACCATGTAATTGTTTTGGGTAAAAATTGCTGCACCAGATCAGAATAGCCTAGCTTGCTCTTACTCACTGCACAGCTAGATCGGCTGTCATTGCCAGATGTTTATATATGCTTTTCTTGTCTCATATGATGAAACAGATACACAGCCAAAGAAGACAACCAAATTTTGGAATACATAAAACAAAAGGACCTACTACCACAAGTTCGAGGCCGAGCCATGTGGATAAACATGGCAACCCAAAATGTACGTCGTGTAAATTTCTTTAGTGATGATGGACAGAGGAAACAAAGAGAACTTGCATTTTTTTCGGGGCCATAAGTCTTTTCCCTCAATACATTGCTAAATATGCAAGGTTTCAGATCCTAGTTATCTTGCCGCTCTGTGGTGCTATGAACGTGATAAGAAATTACATATATATATTTGTACATGGAGTGAGACATTGAAACATGAATACTGAAGTCAGTGTTTGTATGCTATGGGACAACATGTAGGGTCAGCTATATGCCTTGTATAAGATTATTTATAATAAGATGTATAAATAGCTTTCAAGTTGACTCTAAAAGCTATAAACCAGCCTGGAGAATTTTTCAAGGTACAGCTCAGCCTTGTGGAGCCATTTAATGAGATGCCATAGAGCGCATGGCGAATTCCTTTGTTCTGTTGAAGCCTCAACCACCACTCCCGCTGATCCAACGATAATGGCGCTGCCAGCATTCCCCGCATTTGAGGTGAATCTCGACTCAAATATTGGCCCCAGATGGGAAAAATGGCTGACACGCTTTGAGAGACTGATGACTGCCATGGCTATTACCGATGTCACCCGGAAACGCGCAATGTTGCTACATTATGCAGGAACGGATGTCGACGAGATATTCGACACATTGACAATCGAGGAGGCTACGGGCGATGCCACTGAATACAGTGTCGCCACAGCCGCCCTCAATGCGTACTTCACGCCGAAGGCTAACACAGCTTTTGAAGTATACAACTTCCGCCAGGCAACGCAGAAAGGTGGCGAAAACATGGATGCGTTCGCGACACGCCTTCGTCAACTTGCTAAGTCGTGTGGTTTTGCCGACGACAAGATTGAAATCGCCAACCAAATCATTTTTTCGTGCAAGTCCCAGAGTCTCCGCCGCAGAGCACTAAGAGACAATCTGAACCTTGACGATCTAATAAAACTGGCACGCTCACTAGAGATCAGTGAAACGCAAGCTAAAACCGTGGAGGCCAGCAATTCAGACACGGTAAATTTTATGAAGGACCAGCATCAATCTCGTGACAAGCGGCAACAATCACGCTCCAACTCGCAGTCCTATCGACGCTCGCAGTCCAGCCACCACGCCAATGGGAGGTCCCAATCACGCCGACGCCCCGACAATGGTAGCAGACGACGCAACAACACCGGCAAGTGTTACTATTGTGGCTACAACCTGCCCCACCTGAACTGCCCTGCTAGGGGAAAGACATGTGCAAATGGCCCTACAAGTCGACCGGCCCTAAAGTGTTGTGACTACAAAAAAAAATTATACTGTTCAACCATCAGTGGGAAATTTGGGTTCCTTCGAAGGCTAACTAGCATTTCTGCTGATGAAATGGACAAGTATGCAAAGGTACGTATTGGTGGATAGTTATCCAAGTGACCTTGAACCTGAGCTCTCCAGTGAACTCTTCTTTTCCTCCATTTTGAAGTCAGATTTTGCATCTGAAGGGATACCTGTCCTCCAAGCAAAATGACGCTCCAGAGATTTGGATGCATCGCTTGATGATGGGCAACCCAGCACTTCGAAATTCTCTTCTAAACGTTGGCACCATGCTCTCAATATTTTTATCTCTGATGATGACTAACTGCAGCGGTGAAAGATAATTCAGTGTTCTCAAGAGAGTGAAAAACTACCTGCGCGCAAGCATGGGACAACATCGAATGTCGAATCTGTCACTCCTGAGCATTGAACATGGTATGATGGACTTGTTATATAGATATGGATGAACTCATCTCGTGCTTTGCTACACTTAAATCTCGAAAAGTATCTCTGTAAAAGTGCTTCTGTAAACAAATTGTGCTTTGTGTTAAAAAAGTCATATTAAAATGTTGAAAGTATATATTCTTGCTTATGGGGAAGGGGGGGGGGCGGGTGGATGTGCGGCCCAAATATATGATATGCCCCCGGCCCAGGCAACTGTTAATCCGGCGCTGTATTTATCTACATGGACATCTCACCTATCTTTTTGAACACTTTCCACAACTTTACACCATGTATTTATGCATTTATTCCTCAAAGTGGGCAGCTATGATGCAGCCTATTACATTTCGGGTGACGTCACGCGTGTACACAACAGCATTTGAAAACGAAACGCAAGTAGTGCTAGCACTTTGAGGAATAAATGCATAAATACATGGTGTAAAGTTGTGGAAAGTGTTCAAAAAGATAGGTGAGATCGCCATGTAGATAAATAAGCGTTAAAAAGCCTGATCATTTTGCGTTTAGTGAGCCATTTTTCGTGGAAGCATTGGGGGACAGCTAGGTGCAGTTACGAAACCTGGCATAAAATGTTCTATAGCCCTGCTGCAACTGTATGTGGGCTATAGTACTAGAGCTATAGTAGCAGTATTACTAGCAAGCTGCAGCACATGCCAAGACACCGTTTTACGAACCTTCCAATCCTAGTTTGGGACATATATAATTATACTTGACAGGGGTCTTCTTTAGGGTCTTGCCTATTCATATCTGCCAAGAAATATGTCCATTGTTACTCGACCCATGGTCTAAATATGATATAGTCGATCGCACTCGATTATAGTTAGGGCCTACTCTGTCTTCTGAGCGTGATTTATTGCTTTCAACGCAAGCAATCTTTATTAGATCGCTTTAAAGGGTGTGTTTGTTTGGTCGGATCCACGGATCTCGATCCACTGGATCTGTGGATCTGACTGTTTGTTTGGTCGGATCCACGGATCTCGATCCACTGGATCGAACCATCGAACCCTAACCCAAACAAACGCAAACTCACTTTCAACGATTCGCGTTTCGCTGTGACCTATCACGGGAGGGTTCTGAACAAAGAACAAGCTAGCTGTGACTGGCTGAGTCATGAGCCGCCATATTGGATCCCGTATGAATCCACCTCGCTAGCAGGGTCGGGTTTGGTGGATCGAGATCCGTGGATCCGGCCAAACAAACAGTCAGATCCACGGATCCAGTGGATCGAGATCCGTGGATCTGACCAAACAAACACGCCCAAAGAGATACTCTACTCTAGAATTTAAGAGCATATTATGACAGTAGATACATAAATAATAGCACATACCTACAAATATCTAATTACGCATTCACGTTTGTCATAAAACAAAATTGAATTTCGAAATTTTTATTTTTGGGCGCTGACATGACACCCGCCATCATGCTGCCACCCTGAAAAAGTTGCGCATTTGCCAATTTATTTTGCACGTTACAGACCGAGGGCTAATCACAAAAGTGCAATTATATTTACGCTTAAATGCTATTTAACTGAACGATATTTATTTTTTGACAAATTTATCCATATTATAAGTGAAACTATATGTCGTTTATAAAATATTGCAATCCTTTTGCTCATATGCGCCTCACAATATAGCCATAGAGCCTCACAATGCGCATCCAAACGCTAATTTCTACAGTACTAGACTAGCAAATACTTCGTGGCATGAATAATCACACTACCTTATGACAAAATAAACTCTAGTGCTTCCCATTTCACTGCGCGTTGTCTTATAAAAGGTATTTGAAAATATCTCCA